ACCAGGAACTGGGACCTGCCCCAAACAGGCATTACTCAAAGTCTAACTGAGCAAGCACAGGAGGAAAGGAAAGAAGAAAAACTTAGGAAAACGGAATGGCAGGGACAACAATGCATCTCTCTATACTTTCTCTTAATATAAATGGGCTGAATTCGCCAATTAAAAGAAAACGAACTGAGGACTGGATCAGAAAACAAGACCCATCCATCTGTTGCCTTCAGGAGACCCACCTCTCAGCCAAACATACAAACAAACTCAGAGTGAAGGGGTGGAAAAGGATCTACCAATCAAATTCCCCCAATAAGAAAGCAGGTGTAGCTATCCTGATATCTGACAAAATAAACTTTTCATTAAAATCAGTACAGAAAGACAAGGACGGACACTACATATTAATAAAGGGAACAATCCAAGAGGAGGATATAACCATCATCAACTTATATGCCCCAAATATCGGTGCACCCAGATATGTTAAACAAATGCTCTCAAACTTACAGAATAAAATAGATCCCAATACGATAATACTAGGAGACTTTAACACGCCACTCTCACCAAAGGACAGGTCTACCAACCAGAGGATTGGCAAAGAAGCTACCGAATTAAGTGAGGCCATACTTCAAGCGGAATTAACTGACATCTACCGAGTATTTCACCCTAAAACAACACAGTACACATTCTTCTCAGCAGCTCATGGAACTTTCTCCAAAATAGACCATATCATAGTTCATTCAAGGAACTTAAGCAAATACAAAGGGATCGACATAATCCCCTGTATCCTATCTGACCACAGTGGAATCAAGCTAGCTCTCAATAACAAAGCATACCGCAGAAATTTCTCTAATACATGGAAATTGAACAGCACACTCCTTAACAAGGCCTGGGTAACAGAAGAGATCAGAGAAGAAATAAAGCATTTCCTAGAACTCAATGAAAATGAAAACACCTCACAAAGAAACTTGTGGGACACAGCAAAAGCAGTCCTGAGGGGCAAATTTATTGCCCTCAGTGCCCACATCAAGAGAATGGAGACAGACCAAGTAAATAATCTCATGTTGCAACTAAAACAGCTAGAAAAACAAGAAAAAATGGGACCTAAAGCTACTAGACGAAGCCAGATAACCAAATTGAGAGCAGAGATTAACCAATTAGAAAATCAGAAAACCATAACCAAAATAAACCAAACAAAAAGCTGGTTCTTTGAAAAAATAAACAAAATTGATGGCCCGTTGGCAAGATTAATTAAAAAAAGAAGAGAGGAAACCCATATTAATAGGATTAGGGATGCCACGGGAAACATCACAACACGTACCCAAGATATCCAAACAATTCTAACAGACTACTTTCAAAAGCTATACTCTCTAAAGGAAGAAAATCTGGCGGAAATGGATGCATTTTTAGAGAAATACAAGTTACCCAAACTGAGCAAAGAAGAAGTTAACCAATTAAATAAGCCAATATCCTATAATGAGATACAGGAAGCTATCAAAAGTCTTCCAACAAAAAAAAGCCCAGGACCAGATGGATTCACAGCAGAATTCTATAAGACCTTTAAAGAAGAACTAATACCCATACTCCTCAAGCTCTTCAGAGAAACAGAGAAGGAGGGAGCTATCCCAAACTCATTCTACGAAGCCAATATCACACTCATCCCCAAACCAGGCAAAGACCCAACTAAAAAGGAGAATTACAGGCCAATCTCCTTGATGAACACAGATGCAAAGATCCTTAACAAGATTCTAGCTAACAGAATCCAGAAACACATAAAAAAAATAATACACTATGATCAGGTAGGCTTCATCCCAGAGACACAGGGATGGTTTAACATACGTAAGTCAATAAATGTAATCCAGCATATCAACAGAGCCAAGGTCAAGAATCACATGATTATCGCCACAGATGCAGAAAAGGCCTTTGATAAAATTCAACATTCATTCATGCTAAAAGCTCTGGAGAAAATAGGAATAGAAGGAACATTTCTAAAAACAATAAAAGCCATTTATGACAGACCAATAGCCAATATTATACTTAATGGGGAAAAGCTACAACCAATCCTCCTAAAAACAGGAACAAGGCAAGGATGTCCACTGTCTCCACTCCTCTTCAACATAGTCCTAGAACCCTTAGCCAGGGCAATAAGGCAAGAAAAAGACATTAAAGGGATCCGCATAGGGAAAGAAGAAGTGAAACTATCCCTTTTTGCAGACGACATGCTACTATACCTCCACGATCCCAAAAACTCCATCCCCAAACTTTTAGAAATCATAAGTCACTTCGGCAAAATAGCAGGATACAAAATAAACCCACAAAAATCAGTTGCCTTCCTATACACTGATAACGCACAGGAAGAGAGGGAAATAAAGGGAGCAACCCCATTCACAATAACCTCCCAAAAAATAAAATATTTAGGAATTAACCTAACCAAAGATGTAAAAGAACTATTTAATGAGAACTATAAAAAGTTAAAGAAAGAAATTGCAGAAGACACTAGGAAATGGAAAGACCTCCCATGCTCCTGGATAGGCCGACTTAATATAGTAAAGATGGTGATACTTCCAAAACTAATATACAAATTCAATGCAATTCCTATTAAAATCCCAATGACGTACATCACTGAAATACAGAAAACAGTCCAAAAATTTATATGGAACAACAAAAGACCTAGAATAGCCAAAACAATTCTAGGGGATAAAGACAATATGGGAGGGCTATCCATGCCGAACTTCAAACTCTACTACAGAGCTATAATCACAAAGACAGCATGGTACTGGCACAAAAACAGACCCGAAGACCAATGGAACAGAATAGAAGATCCAGATATAAATCCACAGGCCTACAGCCAGCTGATATTCGACAAAGGAGCCAAAGACATACAATGGAAGAAACACAGCCTCTTCAACCGCTGGTGCTGGGAAAACTGGGCAGCCACATGCAGAAAACTAAAAGTGGACCCCAGCCTATCACCATGCACCAACATCAACTCAAAATGGATTAAAGACCTTAACATTAAACCTGAATCTCTGAAACTACTGCAGGACAGAGTAGGAGAGACACTTGAACTAATAGGCACAGGAAGGAACTTCCTGAACAGAGTCCCAGGGTCACAACAAGTTGGAGAGAGACTCGACAAATGGGACTACCTTAAAATAAAAAGCTTCTGCACAGCTAAATCTATCGCAACTAAGCTAGAAAGACAACCAACTAATTGGGAAAAAATATTTACCAGCAATATATCAGACAAGGGGTTAACATCCTGTATATACAAGGAACTCAAGAAACTAATCCCTCCCAAACCTAACAAACCAATTACTAAATGGGCAAGGGAACTAAAGAGGGACTTCTCAAATGAAGAAATAAAAATGGCAAAGAAACACATGAGGAAATGTTCATCATCCCTGGTGGTGAAGGAAATGCAAATAAAGACAACCCTGAGATACCACCTTACCCCAGTCAGAATGTTCCCACATCCACAAATCAGCCAACGACAAATGCTGGAGGGGATGTGGAGAAAGAGGAACCCTATTACACTGCTGGTGGGAATGTACACTTATACAACCACTTTGGAAAGCAGTCTGGAGGGTCCTTAGAAAGCTAAAGATTGACCTCCCTTACGACCCAGTCATACCACTTCTAGGCATCTACCCTGAACAACAGGAACCAATATACAAGGACACGTGCACCTCCATGTTTATTGCAGCACTGTTCGCAATAGCTAGGATATGGAAACAACCTAGGTGCCCCACCACAGATGAATGGATCCAAAAATTGTGGTATCTATACACAATGGAATATTATGCAGCCATTAGAAATGACAAAATAATGGCATTTGCAGGGAAATGGATGGAGCTAGAAGGAATCATGTTGAGCGAGGTAAGCCAAGAACGAAGAGACAAACGGTACATGGTCTCCCTCATAAGTGGATGCTAAATCCAAAAGGTTAGGTGATACGACAAAACTAACAGGACTTAAGAAACAAAGAACTCCCGCTCATCTGGTTGAACCTCTACTAAATATCCTCATGCTGCTGATCACAAATATGGTATATAACATGTGAACACTGTTATATATTACAGACTGTGGTAGACAATTTGCTCCAGGGAAGTTAGAATGAACTTGTGACTTTGAAATTATGTAATCATTTAATCACAATCAAAAAAAAAAAAAAAAGAACCTCGGGGAAGGGAGGGAGGGAGGGGATGGTAGGGGGAAAACAATGGAGGGGGTAACAATGTTCAAGAGGAAGTGTACTCATAACCTCACTCATGTAACTGTAACCCTCTGTATAGTAGCTTTACAATAAAAAAAAAAAAAAAAAGAATTAAATAAAAAAAAAAAAAAAAAAAAAAAAAGATGCAGGGAGTGTGATAACCTGAGCCAATTCTACTGTAGGATTGAGGGAGATGGCTGATGATTCCAGTGGTTAAAACGTATCTATTCTAAGTAAGTGGACTAAAAAAAAATCTCAGGAAGCTCTATATCAAAGAACCTGCCCATGCTGCTAAACCTTGTAATTCTTCCATCACCAATAAACCCCAGTAACCTTTTATGCTCAAGATGTTCTAGAGTGCAGTGAATTTAAACTCTAAAAAACTTGCCAAGTCTTTTGTTTTATTGCTTTGTTTCTGTGACAATCTTAGTCTGAGGTCTACACTGGCCTGGACCTCATAAAGTTGCCCAGGCTGCTTAGTATTCAGAATCCTCCTGCTTCAGTCTCCAGAGTGCTGGGATTATAGGCATACACAACCAGATGGGCTCTGGTTAAACATTTAATAATGAAAAGGAAATAGAGGCATGGCTGCCTAGCAAGAGACTCACAACCCAATACTGCTAATGTGTATGTATGTGTGTATCTAATGAACTTAAACCCAAACATTTACAATTAGACATCTGATGTGCCCTTAAATTTATTAGTATACACTAATAGTACAAGAGTGCATAATTCTATAGATAGGCAGTATACTTTGAATGAGTCCACCCCTTTATTCCTTAATAAATTTTTATCAGCCTCTGGAAGAATCTTTTGTCTCTTCACCTCTTGAATCTGGTTAATGAGATACCAACCATAGCACAGGTAGCCAAGAAATGAGCTCCTACTACAGAATTACAGTGCATTCATGAAAGGGGAGGAGAGTGGAATCTTCTCAAAGTACTCTTAGTGTCACAATATAGAGTGTTTCAATAGCTTAAGTCCATCTTGAATAAAATGCAGATAAAGCAAAGCAAATTTGCTATCGGAAAAACAGCAAGGACTCACATTTGACCAGGCAAAAAGCTGCCGTACTATCTCCTCACAGACCAACTCAAGTGATGAAGCACCAAGCTGAGTAATTACAGCTCTGTTGCCCAAAAGTGCTTTACAGAAGGCAGAATGAGGACAGGTTTCATAGGAAATAGCTGTGATTCTGTACTTCAAAGAAATTACCCAAAATTCACATAGAAAACCTTCACAAACATGTATGTTATTTGGAGATGAGAGAACAAACCTACAAAATGATAGAAAAGTCAGATGCCTTAGCATGCCCAGCCTCTTCTCTCCACTTCCTCCGCTACCATCCTCGGGCAAGCCATCAGCATCTCTCACTTGGGTTATGCCAAGCATGCACAATTCAATTCGCCCAGACTCTGGTCAATCCTCCAGAGGCTATAGGGATCCTTTCAAGACAAAAGTCAGGTCCCATCATTCCTTTGCTCACAACTCTCCAACAGCCTTACAATAGCCGATTTCATTGCTTGATTCTAATGCTTTAGCGCCATTTCTAGAGTAATTCTGCCTCAGGGCTTTTCCATGACTGTTCACTGAGCCTGAAATGTTCTTCCTTCTTGACATGCACATAACTCAGCTTTTTATTGGCTTGTTTTTTGAGACAGGGTTTCACTATGTAGTGCAGGCTGGCTTATGTAGTCAAGACTAGACTTGGTTTGGAACTCACAACCCTCCTGCCTCTGTCTCCTGAGTGTGGGATTACAGGCATGTGCCATGAAGCCTATCATGACTCGGTTTCTTTATGTGTTTAAATATCATCTCTCAGTATGGCCTTTCTAAGAAATCTACTTTACACTGCAAACTCCTACTTCCCTGGGCATTCTCCCTTCTCAGTGTTACTTTCCTTCCATAGAATTTATTGCCTCCTGATAAAAATTGTTTATCTTCCTATTAAAAAGTGAACTATTAAAATAGAGCAATTTTTGTCTATTTTGTTCACTGATATATCTCCAGCATTTAATATACTCAAATATCTGAGTAATGGATGAACATGACAAATAATTAACTGTGAGAGGTGAACTGAGAAGCCACAGTTCCAAGAATGCTAATGGTGACAAATGACCACAGATGTGCAAAAACAGAGCTGAGATAACTTATTATACCCAGTGATTTGTATGTCAGAAGTGACTCTGGCATGTACAAAGAAAGCAAAGTGAATTCTCCACGTTTGTCCAAATTGTCTTTACATTTACATAAAAGTTACAGATGTCCATCACATTTAAATATTTACATGAGTCTAAAAATGTATTTGCAGGAGAAAAATATAAAAGTTAAAATGTAAAAAGTTCTTCATTAATACCATAAATAAATCTTCTGTCATCACCACTCCAGTGACTATTAGAGCTGGACATCTGAATCAATCTCCATAGATGGTTCATGACAAAAATTTGTTAAAGTGAAGATGCTACCTTCCAGCTTCATGCAGCTCCAAGCTCAGGTAGGAAAGGTAGCTGGTAGAGGATCGAACAGATTGGAGCCCTCATTCTATTTGCCTTTTTTTGTTTTGGATGCCTTTTCTTTTCTTTTTTTCACATGTTTAGGAATCTTGTTTTTTCTTTTCTCTCTCTGGGCTTCCTTGACCATTTTTTTTCTTTCCTGTAAAAAAAAAAAAAAAAAAAAAAAAAAAAATCAAACAAATCTCCATGTATTTCATTAAGAGTATTTCTACTATCACATAATTATTACATAAAATAATTTGTATGCATAATAATTAGCACAGCAATCAAAAATCAATACAACAAGCCACTTATAGTAGGTAGTGAAATTTAGTCTTTGGATTTACTGTCTTTTTCTTTTTTGCAAAGCTAGGGATTGAAACCAAGGTACCACATATGCTAAGCATTCTCTAGCCATGCCCAAAGTTCAGTACTGAACTTTGAACTCAAGGCCTCCAACCTGCTTGTGCCCTGGTTGTTTTTTGAAACAGGGTCTCACTTTCTGCCTAGGTATGTATCTTGGGCCTGGGTATACATATTATACTAAGATGAGAGACACACCATTGTGCCCAGCCATCAATTGATAAGGTATCTAAAGAACTTTTTGTCTAGCCTGGCTTCAAATAGTGATCCTCCCAAATTGCTTGTATTACAGGCATAAACCATCAATGCCCAGATTCAAGCCCACATTTGCCCCCCCACCCCCGCTTTCTTTTGTGGTACTGGGGATAGAACCTAGGACTTCACACATGCTAGACAAGTGCTCTAGCTGTATCCTAGCTTCTTAAGCTTTCATAATAGGAATTTGTTGACAGCCTAACAAAAATGTCCTGTGGATGTTAACACATTTCATATTTTGACAGAAATAAAAGTTGGAAAGAAAAATAATGTTTTATTCTACGAGACAGAGTATAGTGTCCTCTCATTACATAATGCCTGAGGAATTCCTAATAACAACTTAGTTTCTATTATTACCTCCTAAAGCAAAGCTCAGCTTATTGAAAATTCTAATTAAAAATCCAATCAATAATGTTTCAGCTAACATCATCTCTTGAGAACCCTTGAGCAAAGAATCAAGAACAGCTACTACCATACTGAAGAAGACAATGTAAGTTCTTGGCCAACCTTTTTATCAATGTCAGGGTCAGTGGTATGTTTTCTACAGTGAGTATGGTCCCCCTGCTCTTCAGAGTCTGTGTCAGAGCACTCAGAGTCTCCAGCATCTTCTGAATCAGAATGAGTCTTTTCCTCAACTTGGCTTTCTAGGAGTGCAGGGACCTTGAAATCATTACATATCCATATTATTTGAAGCAAATCAGCAATCTGTTTATTGTTACTAACATGTTAAAACCAAATGTGTACAAAAATAATATTCTGTACTGAAACATCAAAACTGCCCAAATGAACATGCGAGAGAAAGAAGCAATTCTACTAGGGCTCAAGAGCACAGCCAAGTCAAAGAACCTAGGGCTTCATGGATGACCCAGATCAACAACACAACTGGCCTCAATCCACAAGTCAGAAGGTTGTGGTGAGATTTGGAAGTATATAAAGTATACATGGAGGCTGAAAATAAGGATGTAGTTAGATAATTTCACAGCTGTTTTCCTCTGAACCACAAAACAATAAACTAATCCAATCAGAAGAATGGCAATATTCAACTGAGAGTAATTTTTATTTCTCTTGAAAAGTAGCATAGCTACTTTTTATTTTACTTTACTTTGTTTTTCTGCTGCTACTGGGACTTGAACTCCAGGCATTGAACTTATGGCCAACACTCTACTACTTGAGCCAAATTTCCACTTTTGGCTTTTTGTTAGTTAATTAGAGCTAAGAGTATCTTGATTATCTTGTATTTTTTTGGGGGGGAGGGAGGGGCAAGCTTCAAACCTCTGTCCTCAGATCTCAACCTCCTGAGTAGCTAGGATTCCTAGTAGCTAGATTAACTAGTAGCAGGAACCCTACTGATAAGCTTGCCTCTGACCTGTTTCTGCACTGGCTTATTTTGGGATAAGATGTCACTTTTTGCATAAGCCCACGCCTGGACCACAATCCTCCTATTTTTTGCTCCTGTCATAGCTGGGATGACAGATGGGCACCACCACACCCCTCTATTAGTAGAGAAAGTATCTCCTGAACTTTTAATCAGGGTGGCCTTGAATCTCAACCTCCCAAGTACCTACTAGAATTACAGGTATGCGCCATCATGCGTGGCCCCACATTACTTTTTTTTGTCAGTAGTGGGGCTTGAACTCGGGGCATGGGTGCAGTTCCCAAGCTCTTTTGCTCAAGGCTAACAATCTACTACTCTACCACAGCGCCACTTTCAGTTTTCTGGTGGTTAACTGGAGATAAGTGTCTCATGTGAACTTTTCAGCCCAGGCTGGCTTTGATCTGTGATCCTCAGATCTCAGTCTCATGAATAGCTAGTATGTTATAGGCATGGGCAACCAACACCTGGCTCCATTTTAAACTGGCTGCAAAAACTATTAAGAATCACATGTTCACTGTTAATAACTTCAAGTTGAAGACCAGAGTATTAAAAAAAAATGACTTCCTAAGGGATAGTAGAGGAAAAACAGAGGAGGAGATAACAATGTTCAATAGGAAATGCACTCATTACCTTACTCGTAACTATAACCCCTCTGAACACATTTTTACAATAAAAAACATTTAAAAAAATGTCTTCCTTATTTGAACAGAAGAATTCAGGGACAGAATAAAAAATGTCTCCAAATTTAATTCTAATATTTAAACTTTAGAAGAATTTTCACATAAACAAATAGCAACACATAAATTCATACCTTCTGAACTCCTGACAAATCTTTCTTTAATCCGGTGACAGTCTGGTATAAAATCTTATAACCAAAAGGGGGGAAAAAACCACAATCAATATAAAAGCAGACAATGATATGTACACTAAACACTGTAGGCTAAATGGTATTTTCTGTGATTGTAAAATATACTTGAAATATTTCTCATAGTAACAGAAAGTATATGGTGTTATTCTCTCCTGGCCAAATCCATCCAGACACCTGGCAGGTTTCTGCATGAACAACTGACTCAGAACCCCACTAGGTGAAGTATCATCCATTTCTCCCACTTTCTCATTGGTCACTCTTATTACAAAAAGTTGTGTTCAATTTCCATTAAAGTTTTTTTCATTTAAGGAAATTTTTGTTTGTTTCTTGTTATATGAAGACTTACATAGATGCCTAAAGTTTGCTTCTTAGCTGGCAAAGACTAAAAAATTTACTAAGTAAGTCCTTCAACAGCAAAACAATTTTCCTTAAGTATGTACATTAAGGATCTACTTACTGTTAATGGATTCTACTATAAACATTGATAGATTAGACTTCTAGATATATCTCTCCTCTTATCTCACTATAGTCTGCTATACTCATTCAAATGTGTCATTCGTTCATAAATCCTATAACTTCCCTTTACATCCAGTGTGTAGAGAGGCATATTCATATAAAGAGAGCCACCTTGCTAGCTCAAAGCCAGCATTCAAGATCAGAGGAATTCAAAAGCCATAAACAGGCTTGCGACAATCCCCTCCTCCTATAAACCTGCTTATTATACACAAACCAAGCTACTCACATTGTCTTGTTGAGCATTCATGGCCATGTCCTCTTCTTTCAGTTTCATCATTATGTCCATGTCCCTCTCATAATTTTTTACTTCATTCAAGGTTCTAGGAATATAAGCTCGCTTGAATACCTAACAGAGAGGGGAAAAGTAAAACCCAACTATTATCCTCATGCCTTTCACAGCCATGGAAGAATGGATGTGCACCATCACCTCTAGCCCTGGATCTCAGCCCAGCTACACACACTACCAGGCTGCAACATCTGGGTGGGGTGTTAAAGCAAATGATTAAGACAAAACAAACACTGCATTTTGCATTCTTTATTTTAAAGGGAGGAAAAAAAAATACATTAGAGGAGACTCAAGGTTTCCCTTAGAAAAAAACATTCTTCCTATTCATTTGCGTTCCAATAAGCTCTACCTCACAGAAGGGAAGGGGATGGAATTATATTGCTGTCCTTACAAAGGAACACACTTTTTTTTTTTGCCAGTCTTAGGGCTTAAACTCAGGGCCTGGGTTGCTATCCCTGAGCCTCTTTGTGCTTTAGGCTAACTGGCGTTCTACCACTTGAGCCACGGCTCCACTTCCAGCTTTTTCCGAGTAGTTTATTGGAGAGTCTCACAGACTTTCCTGCCCAGGATGGCTTGAACCGCAATCCTCAGATCTCAGCCTCCTGAGTAGTCACCAGCGCTCAGCCAGGAACACATTTTTACACAGCAACATAACTTATCCAAGTGTCACAAGGAAAGTCCAGAACTTCCAGAGGGGACCTCATATTCATCCATCATGATGAGTATTGTGAGAATTTAAAAAAAACAAAAGAGCTACTATGGAGCCTTTGGGGGGGAAAATGTCCTGATTTCTGAGACTAAAATCATTTCACCTTTTAATTAAAATATCAGTATTTAAAGTCTGCAGTATTATGAAATCAACATTTTAGTCATTTAAAAATTCCTACTTGCAAATAGTAACAAGCTTTTCTTTTTGGGGGGGGAAAGGGTAACACTGTGTTTGAACTCAGGGCCTCTATGCAATTGCTGGGTAAGCACTCTACCACATGAACCACATCCCCACCCTGACCTTGAACTTTTGATCCAACTGCCTAGCATCTCAACTATTAGTATTACAGGTATGCACCACCACACTTGGCAGCTTTTCTTTCTTAACTCAAATACACTACAGGTTGTTTAAAATTTTTCTATCTAGTAAGTTGGTCAGCTAAATTATGCAACTTAGCTCAGTTAAATTATATTCTTTGTTTCTATTTAAAATCAAGCTTATACTCCACTAATTAACCACAAAAAGACTGTAACAGGGCATGGTGTTACATGCCTATAATCTATGCATTCAGGAAACTAAGGCAGGAGGCCCGCCTGGGTGACAAAGAAAGACCATTTGCAAAGATAAAGTGAAACAATCACTACCACCACAATAAAATCCAAGTGTTTCCAAAGACTAAATTGGTAATAAATCCTACCTCTTCATCCACATGATCCTGGTTAGACCTTTCTTCTTTGGTCCTTTGAGACGCTATTTCCATGGCCTTTAAATGAAAGCAAAAATTACATTTAACCTAGAAGAGACACATCAACTTTCCAATGTTAAAATCAGCTTACTCTAATCTGCACAGGTATCAGTTCTTCACACTTCTGGAGTATTTACTTGAGCTTTAATGGTTTATTCTCCACTACAGACCTTACTAAGAAGGCTGACACCAGCCCAAAGAAACAGAATAGACTTTCCAAGCCTCGGGAATTGTGAGCCTCCTTCTTCAAAAGCAATATTGAGGGCATAGCTCAGTGGACAAGTGCTTAATATGTACATAATCCTGGTTTCCAGCCCACAAACCAACCTAGCACCAACAAAAAAAAAAAAAAGAAAAAGAAAGAAGTAATACAACATCTTTACAAAATTTCAAATGATGATCAAAATGAAAGAACTGAGACCCAAAGAATGAGGCTATTTCTTAATTCTTAAAAAAAAATAATAATAATAATCAATGAAGGGGGCTGGGAAAGTGGCTCACATGCATAAGGCCCTGGGTTTGATTCCTCAGAACCACATAAGCAGAAACAGCCGGAAGTGGTGCTGTGGCTCAAGTGGTAGGGAGCTAGCACTGAGCTTAAGAGCTGAAGGACAGTGCCTAGGCACAGAGTTCATACCCCATGACTGACCAAAACAAACAAACAAAGAAAAATCAATGAAGGGCTGGGAAGGTGGCTCAGTGGTAGGGCTTCATGCACGCATGAAGCCCTGGGTTCGATTCCTAAGCACCACGTAAGCAAAAAGAAAAAAAAAAGCCGGAAGTGGCACTGAGGCTCAAGTGGTAGAACGCTAGCCTTGAGCTGAAGAGCTGAGGGACAGCGCCCAGGCCCAGAGTTCAGGCCCCACAACTGGACCCTTCCCCCCCCTCAAAAAAAAATCAATGAAGAGCACTATGAGGTTGAGATATGATCTAATACTGGTTAGTATAAATCATCAGAATTCTTTAACAATGACTGAAACTAAGACGACAAAGATTTTAGATACTTTAGGCTTAAACAACTCAAAGTCTACTCTCTAGTTAAAAAGACATAGACAGAAAAACAGTGGCAACAGTGTTCTATTTTAAGTACAGACACAAAAATCTGTTCTTACAGCTCTAGACTAAGAATGATGTGATTCTAAGTCAAATAACATACATGGTTCTCTACTACATGTCAAGTGCTAGCAATACACAAACACAAGTCCTATCCCCTTAAGAGATCATAATCTAACAAAGTGTGTGATCCCAGCATTTGGAGGCTAATAAAGGAAGATCACAAGTTCGAGGCCAGCTTACACAGGTCTCACCCTATCTCAAAACAAAACAAAATTCTTTTTTTTTTTGTCAGCTGTGGGGCTTGAACTCTGGGCCTGGGTGCTGTCCCTCAGCTCTTCAGCTCAAGGCGAGCACTCTACCACTTGAGCTACAGCGCCACTTCCTGTTTTCTAGTGGTTTATTGGAAATAGGAGTCTCACGATCTCTCCTGCTCGGGCTGGCTTTGAACAGCAATCCTCAGATCTCAGCCTCCTGAGTAGCTAGGATTACAGGCGTGAGCCACTGGCGCCCGGCAAAACAAAATTCTTATAGCTATACAATATTGAAAAGTAGGAAAACCATTTCTGCTGAATTTGTCCCCTAAGAAAGATTTCTCAACTAAGACCACCAGGCTGGGTGCTAGTAGCTTACACCTGTAATACTAGCTACTTGGGAGGCTTGAGATTAATTGGAAGGACTGTGATATGAGGCCATCACAGGCCTCACTGATTGATATCCCACCTCAGCCAATACCACCTGGGCATAGTAGGACATACCTATCATCCTTGCTACGGGTAAGGCTAAGATCAAGATGAATTGCAGTTGTAGGCTAGCCCTGGCAAGAAAGTTGGTAAGACTCTATCTCAATCAATAACTGTGTTTGGTAGCACACAGCTATCCAGGGGAGCATGGGTAAAACACAAAACTCCATTGCAAAAAAAATTAGATCAAGAAGAGTCTGTGATATAACTCAAGTAAAGCATCTGCCGAGCAGGTGGGAAAGCCTGAATTCAAACTCTGGTACTGTCAAAAAATAAAAATAAGAAAACAAAACAAAACAAAGTGCTGATAAGGCAAAGCAAGATGAGAAAAAGGAGAACACAAGGAAAGGGGTGATGAGGAAGTAGGACCACACTTGAAAACCTGTGTAGGGACATACGTGTAGTAACTTCACAATCCTGTGACTAGAAGAAAAGGAAGAACAGATAACTGGACTATATAAAAATTAAAAACTTCTGAACTGGGTGCTAGCATTTATAATCCTAGCTACTCAGAAGGCTGAAATCTGAGGACTGTAGTTTGAAGCCAGCCCAGGCAAGAAGGTCTGTGACACTCTCATCTCCAATTAACCCCCAAAGGCTGGAAGTGGAACTGTGGCTCAGTTGGCAGAATAAATAGTCTTGATAACAAAAGTTCAGGGCCAGTGCCTAGGTCGAGTTCAAGCCCTAAGATGGAAGGTCCTCCCAACCCCATCTAAAAACTGGGCACTAAGGTCCAAACAAGAGAGTGAAAGGCAACCTATAGAATGGGAGAAAATACCTGGACATCACGTATTTTATAAAAAGTTAATGTACAGAATATATTACCAATACTACAACTCAACAAAACAAGTGAACAAAGGAGCCAGGATGCAGCAGGGCAGGCCTATAACCCCAGCTATTTAGAAGGCATAGGTAGAAAGAGCTGTCAGAGGCAGGCCTGGGCAAAAACATAAGACACTACCTGAAAATTAATGCAAAAAGGGCTGGAGGCATGGATCAAGTAGTAGAGCATCTGTCTAGTCAACACAATTCAAACTCTAGTAGTACTGCCAAAAAAAAAAAAAGAAAGAAAAGAAAAAGGAGGGGCTGGGAAGGTGGCTCAGTGGTAGAGCGCTTGCCTTGCATGCATGAGGCCCTGGGTTCGATTCCTCAGCACCACATAAGCAAAAAGAAAAAAGCCAGAAGTGGTGCTGTGGCTCAAGTGGTAGAGCACTAGCCTTGAGCAGAAGAGCTGAGGGACAGCGCCCAGGCCCAGAGTTCAGGCCCCACGACTGGAACCCCACCCCCCCCAAAAAAAAAAGAAAAAGGAGGTTTTCAGGTAGGTAAAATATAAGAGAAAAACCTAAACATGCTCATAACTGCAGTAACTTTAGCCCAATGATGACCTCACTTTCAGTGATCAACCTGCCTTCAGTGATACAAGTTTTAAATCGTATTTTCTTGTTTCCTCTTCATCTTTTCTTTCCCCTCCTTCCTTTCCATTCCCCCATGAATAGGAACTCAAGAATGTCTTTATAGCTCCAGGAAACATTATTTCAGTCCTCTTTCACAGGAGTGAAAGAACACCCAGGACAGTTTTATCTGGGATCCAACTACAGAGACAGCACAGTGAGAAATGAGACCCATGGCAACCACCCAGCCCAAAGCCCCACCTGGGCCAGCAGATCTGCAAGCCCATGTATGCTGGTGGGGTTTCTTTGAAAACCCATCTTCAACCACTGGGAGGAGGGTGGTAGCACAGGGGATAGTAACTCATGCAGTCTCCAATTTGCCCAGCAAAATTAATAACCCTTCACTTCCGTTTCTCCAAAGACTTGCTCTCATTATTTGGGAACTGGCATCAAGTTCAGAGGGCTGTATTTCTGGTATCAAAAGGACTGAAGAGCCATTTCTTCAAAGATGTTCATATGGGCAACAAAGTACGGAAAGATGTTCAACATCATTATCATTAGGGAAATGTAAAATAAAACCAAAATTATACCATCTCCCACCCATTTGGAGGGTGAAAATGCCCGAAAGTAAGCACTGGGAAGGATATAGAGAAACTGGAGGACTTGTGTATTGTAGGTAGGACTGTCATTGTAAACAGAGTAATGGTTCCCCCAAAACTTACAATTACCACATGACCAGCTTTGGATAAGTATTGAAAAGAATCAAAAGCAGGTTCTAGAAGAGGTATTTATCCACTTATGTTCACAGCAGCATTACTAGCAGTAAGCAAAAGGGAGAGGCAACCTATATTCCACTGACAGATAAAGACAGGCAAAGCCTTAAAAAGGAGAGAAACCAGGCCTGGGAGCGTGGCTCAATGGTAGAGTGTTTGCCTTGCATGCATGGGGCCCTGGGTTCGATTCCTCAGCACCACATAAGCAAAAAAAGCCGGAAGTGGGACTGATGCTCAAGTGATAAGAGTGCTAGCCTTCAGCTAAATCGCTGAGGGACAGCACCCAGGCCCAGAGTTCAAGCCCCACGACCGACCCCCCACCCACAAAAAAAGGAGAGAAACCTGTCACAAGTTACTATGCACTTATGCATGAACCTTGATGGCATTCACCACAAAAAGGCAAACATGCAAGACTATTTAGAAGTGGTACCAAGAGTCAGTTCATAGGCAGAAACTAGAATAGTGGTTACCAAAGGCAGGGGAGTTGCTGGGATGTTAAGAAAATTCTAAAGATAGTAAATAGTGATGTTTGCACAGTAATATCAACATACTTAATGCAAATGTTTACACACATGTATTTTCCCACTACTGTAAAAATGCTGACTTAGGAAGGCCCCCACAAACACCAGACAGGAATTAATGACTAAAACCTCAACAGGCTTCTTACAAGACATTCATGAAGGATAACAATCTCAACAATCTTGTCAGATGACTGCGGTCAGGAATCCTGGCTTTCCTCCTCTCACCTCTTCCCTACCCCCAACATTACCTTGGCTAGGTAAGCATCTATGTTCTCAGCTGTAATGGAAGGATCCGTTACAAACTCAAAGAGCTCCCGCATAGTCATGACAGCCACAGCGTGCTTCAGAAAGAAATCTGTCAGAAGGAAAATCATCAACCATACTTTGTAAGATAAAAAGAGAACAAAGTAAATGAAATACATAGCACTTCCAGACAATTTTTTTTTTTCTTTTTGGTGCTAGGGAACCAGGGTCTTATACATGGTAGGCCACTGCTTTACCACCAACCTATATCCCAGCCCCAGAAAATGAGTTGAGTGTTATCACACTGGACAATGCAGTGAGAGATTTTTGTTTTGTTTTTCTGCATTGAGATCAAATCCAGATCTCATACTTGCACTCTCCCAATCTATATTCCAGTTCCTAGTGGCAAGGTTTTACATCCACAGTTTAAGCAAGTATAGAACTAATGGACACCAACAGGCTATTCAAAATTCCACTTTCTACTCACCGTTGACATTGGCACAGTCTTTTCTTAGAAACTCTAAGGCATGCGGGTGGTCATGTTCCACAGACTGAGAAACATCAATGATATACACATCTCCGCCATGATACCTTGGTGGGTCAGAAATACCAAAGCTGTAATGCACTACTATTTGGGGAGGGGGAAGAGGATTGCTGAGATTGAAGGAGTGCAAAACTCTACCTGGCTAAAAGCATTTTGTTCTTGTGCTTTTGTTTTTGGTGTTTTTTTTTTTTTTGGGGGGGGGGAGGGCTGGCTCTAGGTCATCAACCCAAGGCCTAGATGCTATCCAAGAGCTTTTATTTACTCAAGGCTAGCCATCTAACAACTTCAACCCACAGCTCCACTTCTCTGGCTTTTTGGTGGTTAACTGGAGATCAGTCTCATGGACTTTCCTGTACAGGCTGATCTCAAATCTTGATCCTCAGATCTCAGCTTGAGTAGTTAGGATTATAGGCGTGAACAAACAGTAGTTCAAATCTGTAATCCCAAGAAGTAGAGAATGGGAGGATCATGGTTTGAAGCTAGCCTGGGGCAAAAAGTTAGTGAGGACTCTCACACACACCCACACCATTTCAACAAAAAGGCATAGTGGCACACACTTAAAATCCCAGCTACATGAGAAAATGAATAGGAAGAATGTGGTCTAGGCCAGTTTGGGAAAAAAATATAAAACCTTATTTCAAATTAACCAGTGCAAAAAGGGATAGAAATAAGTCTCAAATGGCAAGAGTACCAGCCTAGCAAGAATGAAGCCCAAGTAACTACCAAGAGGTGAGTTCTTTCTGACTCTTAAGAGAAAGGGAAATAATTCATAAAAGGATAAATAAGAAAGGACCAATGTGACTAACGAGAAGCTGAGAACATTTCCAAATCCCACTAACTATTAATGATTAAAGTGGTTTCTTCCTTGTTTCTGCAGTGCTGGGGACTGAACCTGGGGCCTCATGCATACTAAGCAGTCCTTTCAAAATGGTCACTTCTAAACTTAAAGAAATGAGAAAGACACCTTTGCAACAGAAAATAGTATGACTTTGAGAACTGGGATATTGTTCAAAAAGGCATGAAATGACTAATGTCTAAGAGACAGACACTTACAGCATGTTAAATTCACTGAGGTCTGCGTGGACAAGCCTGGCGTCCTGATACATTTTTCTCATGTACTGAATGACTTGCAGATATAACTCTCGGGCCTTGGATTCAGATAACTGAGTGTTTTTTAATAGTGGTGCAGGCCTTGAAGAGAAACAAAATGAACAAAGATAAAATGACCAGGAACAGGTTTTCTTGCTTTATACACTACACCGTTACATTCTCTTCTTCATGTGAATTGTATATGAATCACTCTATATATGACACTCCAAGCAGCTGCCAATAGACAACTAGACAAAACACTGAATAAAATATCTCAAAAAACACCAGGGATAACAATTATTCTGAGGCATTTTGATACTTTAAAAGTAACTTAATTTATAAATAAGTTGCAATAGAAGGTAGGAAAGACTGAGGAAAAGAACTACTCAAATAATATTGGATAAGCACAAAATACAGTTCTGAGCATACAATTCTTAGGCTTCCCATGTACTCACATGTCACCTTTACCAATGAACCCCATGACAAGAACATGACTTCTTAGCATTATTGGCTTTGGACATGGTATCTCTGCTGTGTTCAGCCTGTGGTAAGGACAAGTGAAAGTCAAAAAGGCATATACACAAATTACAATACCAACAGTGTACGATACTGCTGCTGGGAAACAGGACATTGAGTCCTCTCAATTACATTTTATTTCATAAATTAAGGTACCAAGGATTTTAAGTGATAGCACAAAGAATAAAGCAGCTGAGCATGTTGACACATGCCTATAATCCTTGCATTTGAAGCAGAAGGATAGTGAGTTTGAAGCTGGTTTGGACTAAATAGTGAGACCTTGTCTCAAAAACAAAAATGACAGGACTAGGAAATTGGCTCAGTGGTAGAGTGCTTGCCTTGAATGAATGAGGCTCTGGGTTCCATTCCTCAGACCACATAAGCAGAAAAAAGCCGGAAATGGCACTGTTGCTCAAGTGGTAGGGGGCTAGCCTTGAGCTGAAGAGCTGAGGGACAGTGATCAGGACCAGAGTTTAGGCCCCACGACCAAAAAAAAAAGGCAAAAAGACAAAGACAAAACACTAACAATTAAACCATTAGATCCCATAATCTGTAACTTGTAACACTAAATTCAATTCTAGCACTGTAAATTGAAAAAGGGTACAATTTAGATGGAATACAGAAGGTAAGTGTACAATGTTCTTGAACACTAGCCTGAAGCATGCTTAATAAAACTGGTTGGCACTTTGGAAAGCAGTCTGGAGGGTCCTTAGAAAACTAAAGATTGACCTCCCTTACGACCTAGTCATACCACTTCTAGGCATCTAGCCTGAACAACAGGAACCAATATACAAGGACATGTGCACCTCCATGTTTATTGCAGCACTGTTCACAATAGCTAGGATATGGAAACAACCCAGATGCCCCACCACAGATGAATGGATCCAAAAATTGTGGTATCTATACACAATGGAGTACTATGCAAATGACAAAATAATGGCATTTGCAGGGAAATGGATGGAGCCAAGAGCAAAGAGACAAATGGTACATGGTCTCCCTGATAAGTGGATGCTAAATCCAAAATGTTAGGTGATACGACAAAATTAACAGGACTTAAGAAACAAAGAACTCCCACTCATCTGGTCGAACCACTACTAAATATCACCATGCTGTTGATCACATGTATGGTGTATAGTGTACACTGTTGTATGTTATAGACTGTGATAGACAATTTGCTCCAGGAAAGTTAGAATGAACTTGTGACTTTAAATGAGCATCAATATTCCACAATACTGTGAAATTCGGGAAATTATGTAATCACTTAACCACAATTAAAAAAAAAAAAGAACAACCTCGGGGAAGGGAGGGAGGGAGGGGATGGTAGGGGGAAAACAATGGAGGGGGTAACAATGCTCAATAGGAAGTGTACTCATTACCTTGCTCATGTAACTGTAACCCTCCGTATAGTATCTTTACAATAAAAAAATTAATTAAAATAAATAAATAAATAAAACTAGTTGGACTCATACCTAATAGCTAATTGGGCACAAGATTTCAGAAGGACTTTCAAAACCAAAAGTATTTACTGAAGCATAAACAAACTAATGTATAACATGTATATGTAACCAAAAAAAAGACACAGTAAGAGGAAATAGTTGACCTCAACTAAATAAGCAAGTTTTTGTTTTTTTTTAACTCTGTTAGTGCAAATCTGTAATATGTATGTTTGGAAGAAATACATAAATATATTCAAAACTGGACTAAGAAAATAAAATTGACACAGTATCTAAAATTCTAATAACTAATTGTGATACATCTTTCACACTTGAATGTGTCATCTGTCTTGTTTAAAACCCGCAGCTGCCCAGTACATGTTCTATGTATTTGCAAACAGTTCCTCCACGATTTGTTTTAAGTAAATATGAGCTGCAGTCAAGTTTTCTGCTTATAACTGAGAACAGATAGCTACTATGTCTAGTAATGTTTCCTGTGCTTGTCTCAGCAGGTAAGAGAGCTAAGTGGCATAAGGAGCCCATTTACTTGGGCAGAAACAGCGGGACCTGTGGGCAGGAAGGGCTGGAGCAGGTGTACAGCCCAGACACGTGTATCCCAGATAGTCACCTGATTAAGTTCCTCATTTCCTTTTCGGCCCAAGTTTTCACCATTTTTCGAGGATTTCCTTTACAATAGCCGTGACGAAATCTTGAATTTAAAAAAAATTGGTATTTTAACCACTTATTATTTTAACATTTTATTAAATAGGAATTAAATAGGAAAGGGGCATCTGGCCTTACCTGAATTCCCCACTAACGTACTTATCCCGATCTTTAAACACCAGAATTGAAGTTTTATAAATTTTGATTGCTCTGCTCTCTCCATCTGCTGTGCTAGCATGGTATACATTAGCCTATTTTAAGCCAAAAACAATGAAACAAAGTTTATGTTAAATAACTACAGTTTTACTTTTCCAATCAAGATAGTTCTCTTAAGAGAAATGAAACAACATGTATAAGCAACATATTTGGAAGATGTGAATTAAGCATGAATATCAAAAGGCACAGTAACTATGCCTCTCATATAGTATTGTACCCCACGATATTCTAATCATAATGGCCGTGTATACCCCAGATGTCCTATAGCTGCATCGCAGCCAAACTAGTTTTTCTAGGTTTACTGTTTGCACACAAAATGGTTTAATGATCTAATGCTCTGAAATGTATCCTATTGTTAAGCAATGTGACAGTACAAACAGCGCAAAATCCAATTTAAGATACATAAGGATTGGTTTCAAACTAGTACATGGAAAATATTTAAAGATAGTCTAACATCTAGTAATCCCCACAGAATGAGTTGTTAATTTAAAAATGATCCTGTTTGTCTTTTTCTACATCTACATATTTAAACAAATAAGAAAGACTTACTTAGAAGGGAGTCCCTAAACAATTAGTACTTTTTTGTCAGTCATGGGGCTTGAATTCAGGGCCCAGGCACTGTCCCTGAGTCTTGTGCTTAATGTTAGTGCTATACCACTTTGAGCCACAGTACCACTTCCAGTTTTTGAATGATTCATTGGAGATGAGTCTCACAGGGACTTTTCTGCCTGGGTTGGCTTCAAACTGCGATCCTCAGATCTCAGCCTCCTGAGTAGCTAGGATTACAGGCATGAGCCACTGGCACCCAGCTCCAAATGGTACTTTTTAAACTAGGCCCCAAATGATCTAAGCACCTAAGCTTGCAGTTGGGCACAACCAGTTACACTCAATATAATGTAGTAATTGTAGTGAAAAGGCATGGCACTCTACAACTTCCCATCTAGCTATTAACTCAAAAACTATTAACCAAGATCTATCCTGACATATGTATAGCTTTTTTTTTTTAAATTGGTAGTAGGGGGGTTTAAATTAAGTGTCTGCCAGAGAGATACTCTATCAGTTAAGCTATGTCCCCAGCCACTTTTGCTCTAGCATGTTTTTTGTTGTTGTTGGTGGTGGTCATGGGTGCTAGTTTCTTGAGTTTTTGCACTCAAGACTAACACTTTACCACTTTGAGCCACAGCACCACTTTGTTTTCTGGTCCTATGCAGGTAGGCTTGAAAGCATGGTCCTTAGATCACAGCCTCCTGAGTAGCTAGGTTTATAGGCATGAGCCACAGGCACCCAGCTATGCTCTGGCATTGCGAAATAGGGTCTCCTTCCCTGCTCAAGTCAGCATATACTTCTAGTTATAGTTCCTACAGGTTTGAGCCACCAAACCCAGCTTTCTGTTAAGATGGGGATCTTCTGAATAAATGCCTCGGCTGGCCTCAAACTGTGACCCTCTGGACCTCAAGTAACTAGGATTGTAAGCATATGCCACCACATCCAGTGCAGTCTGTTTCTTCCTTTTTTAAAGGCACAATTTATTTAGTAAGTGCCTAAGTTCCCTTTGGTATTTGAAATAAAGAAACTAACATGAAAACATTCAGTGATCCAAAGAAAAGCTCACTTCTTTTCCTGTGCTAATACATCCATTTATTTCTGTTATGATTCCTCGGGTCAACATCTTAAATAAAATCATTCTTGTTCTGGGGTCCAAAACCTACAAAGAAATGAAAAATAAGTTTCTAAGTCTTGTCATTAAAACACATCCTAATTACTAAACAGAAGCACAAATCTATAGTATGTTAAATGAGAGTTACTACTGAGTTTTATTCATTTTTTTTTTCATTCTCAATTTTAGTAAATGAAAAACCCACGTGAAGACCAAAGGAACCAGAAACAACAAATCACGACATTCATCCAGCCAAGGAAATCAAAGTCTACCAAGTCTGATGAAAGTAGAAATGGATTCTAGACCAACACTGGTTAAAGAAATATAGAACAAGCCATATAAAATAATTTTACAGAAAGTAAAACATAATAGGTGATATTGTTTTAAAATACTTCATTTAAGCTAATATGTCAGCATCAAAAATCTATTCAATTTAAAAATCATTAGAGACCTGTAGGTATGACTCAGCAATATAGCAACTGCCTAGCAAACTTCAGGCCCTGAGTTCAAACCTGAGTACTGCCCCCACCATAAAGAAAAATTAATGATATTTAGCATTCTATTTCTTTTTTGGGGGGGGGGGTGGGATCAGTCATGGGGCTTGAACTCTGAGCCTGGGCATTGTCCCTCAGCTCTTCAGCGAAAGGCTAGTGCTCTACCACTTGAGCCACAGTGCCCCTTTGGTTTTCTGGTGGTGGTGATAAGAATCTCATGGACTTTCCTGCCTGGGCTAGCTTTGAACAGAGATCCTCAGACCTCAGCCTCCTCAGTAGCTAGGATTAGAGGAGTGAGCCACTGGCACTCAGCTTAGCATTCCCTTTTTTACACCATCTACACAAGATCTAGCCTTTACTTTTATAACATAACTCAGGCAAAGCAAACTGCAAGTCCTCATGCTACTGTTATAAACAGGCAGTTTTAATAGGTCAGCACCCAATGGCCATGTTTACACAAATCCTAGCCATAGCCAATAAGCTAAATATGGCTTCTACATTTTAATAACTATTACCAAAAAAAAAATTATTATTCAACAGAAATCACAAATCCTGCCCTACAATGCCTAGAGTACTTGTTAGTCAGCTCTTTAAATAAAGCCTGATTAGGCTGGGAAGGTGGCTCAGTGGTAGAGCGCTTGCCTTGCATGCCTGAGGCCCTGGGTTCAATTCCTCAGCACCACATAAGCAAAAAAAAAAAAAAAAGCCAGAAGTAGTGCTGTGGCTCAAGTGGTAGAGCACTAGCCTTGAGCTGAAGAGCTAAGGGACAGCACCCAGGCCCAGAGTTCAGGCCCCATGACTGGTCCCCCCTTCCCCCCCCCAAAAAAAAGAAAGCCTGATCATCTCCAGTATCCTAGATGAGTAAATCATGTGAGTCTCCTTCAAAGACACAGGCTTTTCGTTTAATAAGGGGCAAGGAACTTAAAGCCTGTTCTTGTTCTTCTGACACTGAAGCAGCCCGACATTTGTACCTCTGTGGCTCAAGTATATCTTCTAGTTCCTGATGTGAGCTGGAAGTATACATTAACCAAACCTAGTTATATTTTAGGGACTATATACTTAGGTCATGTCACAAACCTACAGTTGATATAAACAAAAACAAGCTTAAAAGACAGTAGGACCAAATAGATGCTAGAGAAGAAAGGGAACTGAGTGAACAGGCACTAATTTCCACCACTCTCTTTACAGCTAGGTAAAGGGGGAAGTAACCTGGCTAAATGTAGAAATCTACATTTGAGACTATGCGTTGAGACTATGCATCTGCAAAATTGGGAATTAGAGAAGAGGAAAAGAGGAAGGAGCCACACACCAAACAGATTAAGAACATGGCAAAAAAATTTAAGTGCAGTGGTTCACGTCTACATTCTCAGTATTAGGAATCTGAGGCAGGAGGATCACAAGTTCTAAGCTAGCCTGGGCTACCTAGTGAGCCCTTGTCTCAAAAAAAAAAAAAAGTCAAATACATAGCCTAATACTGTAAGTATACACACCAACATTAAAAGAAAAAAAAGATTTCCTAAGCTATTTTGAGTTCTTGAAAAATAGGGTTGCTTCATTTCTCTAAGCCAAAGCATACTGCTTTCAATCACAAAAACCAAATTAGACAACATAAATGATAGAACATGGACCCTGCTCCTGCTTACTAACGATGTCATTCTTCAATTGCATAAATAATTCTAGATCACCAGTTAGCTTCTACTCCCTTGGGGGCTAAGGTACATGAAGAAGGGGTGCTTAGGCATTAATGCAAGAAGCTTATAGGTGAAGAGGGTATTACACAAAATGGGTTTGAACATGTGTGCATGAGTGGTGAAGAGTATAGCAAGCAACAGTGATGTTCTGACCCTTTTTATCCTTTCTTCACACCAAAAGTCTAGACCAAAGCCATAACACTCATGGACATCTACCCAGAATATCAAAAGCCAGGATACCATAAACACACTTGCATATCCATGTTCATTGCTGCACTATTCACAACAGCCAAGCTATGGAAACAGCCCAGAAGCCCTATAATAGATGAGTGGATTAAAAAAATGTGGTTCCGGGCTGGGAAGGTGGCTCAGTGGTAGAGCGCTTGCCTTGCATGCTCGAGGCCCTGGGTTCGATTCCTCAGCACCACATAAGCAAAAAGAAAAAAAAAAGCCGGAAGTGGCGCTGTGGCTCAAGTGGTAGAGCGCTAGCCTTGAGCTGAAGAGCTGAGGGACAGCGCCCAGGCCCAGAGTTCAGGCCCCACTACCGGACCCAAAAAAAAAAATAAAAAAATAAAATAAAATAAAATAAAATAAAAAAATGTGGTTCCTATACACAATGGAATTTTACATAGCCATTAGAAAATGTAATATTGTGTCATTTGCAGGGAAATAGATAGCTAGAACAAGTCATGTTAAGTAAGGTAAGTCAAGCTCAGAGACAGTGCATGTTTTCTCTCATATTCAAAAGCCAGAATTAAAATATACTGGGACATGATAAATTATACAGGACTCTAGGCATTCAGACACAGTGAAGGAGGATATTCTTAGGGAAGGAGCACAAATGCATAATTCCTATTTCATATAAAATAATATTTATTGAAATGAACTTCAGGAAATGGAAAAGAGGTATTTTTTGTTATTGTCTTCTTTTCTTTTGGTCTTATGATCATTTAGCTGTCTTTGAGAGGATAAGGAGAGGCATAGGAATGGAAGGAAAGGTACTCGCTAAACACTATTTTGAAAATGAACTATACAACTTGTAGTTGGGGATGGGAGGGGAAAAAATGGGAAAGAGCAGGGAAGGGGTAAGTGATATTGTCCAAAAAGAAAGGTACTAATTACCTAACTTATGTAACTGTAACCTCTCTGTATATCACTTTTATAATAATAATTAAAAAAAAAAAAGAAAATCTAGGCTAATGCCAACATCTAATCACATCCTTCTATATAGGGGAAATTTAGTCCTATCCCCCTTTTTTTTTTTTGATCAGTCATGGGGCTTTAACTCTGGACCTGGGCACTGTCCCTCAGCTCTTCAGCTCAAAGCTAGAGTTCTACCATTTGAGCCACAGTGGCACTTCCAGTTTTCTGGTGGTTTATTGGAGATAAGTGTCTCACTGACTTTCCTGCCTGAGCTGGCTTTGAACTGCGATCCTCAGATCTCAGCCTCCTGAGTAGCTAGGGTTACAGGCGTGAGCCACCAGCACCCCACTAGTCCCCTTCTTGAACAGAAACACACAATTTCTAAACAAAAAAAGGCATTTCCAATTCAAAATTTCAAGCTATTATCTTTTCCTCTCCCTCACCCATAACCATACCCCTGCTTAATGGCAGATAATCAACCTATTTTCCATCACCGCTAACAAAATCTGGGAAAAGATTCTGGGTCTGATGATCTCTGCTCACCCCTCACCCTATGGAGGAAAGCACTGCATTGTGGTTGTCACTGTGTTATGGAAGAACCACTAACTCTCTTATGAAAGCAAGGTTTCTAGACTGTAAACAAAAGGAGTATTTTATATAGAACAATTGTAGGTAACACCACCACTTAAGAAGGATAAAAGCATATCACAATTCAAAGAAAAGAGAATGCTAATTCAAAATAAGAATTACAACACTTAAATGGTACCTGCTCTACAGTTGCTCGATCAGCTTTATCCTTAATGCGATACCTGGACAAAAAAAAAGTGAAGATAATATCTTAAAATTCAGTGAGAAGCCAAAATAAAGCTAAATGTACATCACTTTACAAAAATTCCTAAGTAGTTGTTTCATAGCAAAGTTCATGATTTAATTGTAAATTTTTCACCTAGTAAAACTTCTTTCATTTTTCCTGAACATAAAATTCAATACTCTCAAGTAAAAGATACGTGTATATACCACATACACAGAAAAAAAAAAAGTCTCTCCATATTCTAGAACTATGTAAAAGAGCAGCTGGGAACTGGAAGTGTGGCTCAAGTGGTAAAGGAGCAGCTATGAGCAGAAAAAAATCAGAAACAGCTCAAAGCCCAGAGGTCAAGTCCTAGTACATGTAAACACATAAACACACCACTACCACCCTCCCATCCCCCATCACCAGCAGCAACAACTGGGTTAAAGTAACAAAGAAAACACCAACCCTGAACTTTTCAATGATCCTATTAATTTAATGATCCTAGAAGTTTTTTTTTTTGTCGGTTGTAGGGCTTGAACTCTGGGCTTGGATACTGTCCCTGCACTCTTCAGCTCAAGGCGAGCGCTCTACAGCTTGAGCCACAGCGCCACTTCCAGTCTTCTAGTGGTTTTTATTGGAATAAGAGTCTCACGGACTTTCCTGCCCGGGCTGGCTTTGAACTGCGATCCTCAGATCTCAGCCTCCTGAGTAGCGAGGATACAGGCGTGAGCCACCGGCACCCAGCCTAGCAGTTTTTGTGTATATATTTTTATTGTAAAAATACTGTACAGAGGGATTATAGTTTCATGAGTAAGGTAATGAGTACATTTCCTATTGAGCACTGTTCCTCCCTTTGTTTTTCCCCTATTACCCTTCCCTCCCCACCTCCACAACTTCTCCCTCCCCACCCCCTGAAGTTGTAAAGTATCTTGTACATCTCCTTGTTACAATGGGTCATCCAGTAATCCTATTTCAGCATTGTTATTTCCCTTTTCATCCCCAAATTAGAAAAATGTATATACAAGATTCAGGGCACTGGAATCAAATACAATCAAAACAGGGGTTATACTTTGGGGGAAGAACAACAAAGGAAACAAAAAATCACATGGTACATTATAAGTACATTAAAAACAACAGCAAGAAAGATAAAACCACTTGTGTCTCTATCTTAAGGTTCATTTTGCTTGGCATCATTTTATAGTCATATGTACATAGCTTCTGAGCTTTTCTGCTTATCCTAGACATATACTCGTTAATGCAAATAAGGGAAAACATGGAACATATGTTTCTTTAGCATTTTTTTATATCATTTTCTCTGTAGTGATATTCTAGGAACACTTACGATTTCAAGACAGTCTTCAAATGTAGGCTCACACACTAGTTCAGTTCACACACTAGTTCAGTTCACACACTAGTGATTCAATCTAGCACACTAAATTAATGCAGATTTAAAGATAGTCAGAAATGTTAGTGGATCTAAAAAGGCTACTACCTCTTGGATATAGAAATTAACCATGGAAAACTAGTTATAAATTTAAATTCTATGCTGGGTGCTGGTGGCTAATGCCTACAATCCTAGCTACTCAGGAGGCTGAGAGCTGAGGATCTCGGTTCAAAGCCAGCCCAGGAGACTCTTATCTCTAATAAACCACCAGAAAACGAGAAGTGGTGCTGTGGGGCTCAAGTGATAGAGCACTAGCCTTGACATGAAGAGCTGAGGGACAGTGCCCAGGCTCAGAGATCAAGACCTACAACTGACAAAAAAAAAAAAATTAAATTCCAAGCCTGATTTGATTGCTCCTATCTACAATCCCTGCTACTTAGGAGGAAATCAGAGGATCTCAGTCTGAACTAATACCTTATCTGAAAAATTTCCTAAAGCAAAAAAGGCTAAGGATATGGCTTAAGTAGTTGAGCACTTGCCTAAAAATCTCAGGGCCTTGAGTTCAAACTCCAGTATCATCAGTAAGTTGTAACATTGCTAGTTGTATTATACTGTTATTTTCTATGATATCCTGGTAATATTAAGAGTATTTCTGAGAAGAAAAGCATACATGGAAATAGTTCTCAGTTACATTACTATTTAGTTGTTAGTCTTCCTTGAATTTTAAAAAATATTTCTGGAAGAGAGCAATTCTTAATAAAAGCTAAAAAGGGAGAAGTTTTATATATTTAACCTAAACAAACACTGTTACTGTAATAAAAGCACACTAGTGAATTTCACACAAGATCATAGTTTTATCATGTTTCTTAAGAATTCGTATTAATATTTTTAACTTACAAGAGGTATAAAACACCCTCACTTAAGCTTTAAAAATGATTTATCCTTTGTAAAACAATTATTACTCGTCAGAAACAAGTCCCTATTACACATGTTTATAATTAAAATAGTACTTACATATCTGCTTCTTTTTGTCTAGATTTTTCCGTGACTTTATTTATGACAGAATCAGTAACATTTAGCTTATCTAAAAATATAAAAGCCCACAATATAAACAATACGTAAGATAAGACGATATTAAGTTTCTTTGAATTTATCATAATTACAATTTAGTTATGAAAAAAATTAATGTTTTTAATGGTAACTATTAAGTTGTGTTCCCTTCATAACAAGTATTACTTTCTTTTCAAATCTATAGAAATCTAGGCCAGGCACCAGTGGCTCACGGCTGTAATCCTAGCTACTCAGGAGGCTGAGATTTGAGGATCACGGTTGAAAGCCAGCCTGGGCAGGAACGTTCATGAGACTCTTATCTCCAATAAACCACTAAAAAACTAGAAGTGGCAATGTAGCTCAAGCGGTAGAGCACTCGCTCGCCTTGAGCTGAAGAGTGCAGGGACAGCACCCAAACCCAGAGTTCAAGCCCCACAAGTGATCAAATAAAAAAAGAAAAAGAAATCTAGACATAGAAAAGAACTCTTGGGAGGTGGAGATGAGAAGGATCTCAGGTGAAGGGCTAATAGCGTGGCTCAAGTGATAGAACATCTGCTTAGCAAGTGCAAAGCCCTATGTTCAAACCCTAGATGACATATTAAGCAAGAAAAGATCACAGTTAAAGAACAGCTGACAAAAAGTAACAAGATTCCATCTCAGTCAACAAAAGGCATGTTGGTACATGCGTGTGATCCCAGCTATACAACCATAGCAGGAGCACACATAGTAAGAGTATCAGACTTAAGAGGTATGCCTAAAGTGGACGAGCACTTTATAACACTTTACTCTGTATAGCAAGCATAAATCCTACCCACCCCTCAAAAAAGAAAAACTCAAAAAACTTCTTTAAAAAATACATATTAAATCTCATAATACACATAAAATGCATATTAAACCTCAGGTACTTAATATTCTTGTACAATATAGACAATGCAACTAACTGCCTGAATTTCAAAATAATTTTCTAAAATACTTGTTTTCATTATTTATTGACTGCCTGTATAAGAAACACTGTGCTAGGTTTATAGTCAGCCTTGTAAGGAGAAAACAATGGCCTTGCATTTTAAAATAGTTCAAACCAGCAAACTGATTCCTTGAATTCAATAGTTCACTAAATGATTAACACCTACATAAAAGTCTTCAGTAAAATAATATAGCATTTTCAACATATTATTATGAGATGGCCCTACCAAAAAATCTACTACAGAATGAACAAGAACTTGAATGAATACCTGTAACTTCATAGTCCCTCAACAGATGAGAAAATAGCTAAAAAAAAATGACACTTTTGGTTTTTTTTCTAGTATATATTCACTATTGACATGCAAAAAGTCTTAATCATCTTTAAGCAATATGTATATTTCATAGTTTTTGAAGAATTTCCTCATAACCTAGTGAGGTAATGTATTTTATGAACTCACCTAGATTAATTTTATTTTCAAATTTCCTTAAGACCTTATCAGTTGGAGTAGACATTCTGGCTGAATTGCAGTTGGAAGCCTGTCGATTAGCCTGTAAGAAATGAATATAGAGAATAAGGCATTAGTTGTTCTAAGATTCATCATCATGTGTTTTCCTTGGTTTAGTTAGCTATTGAAGAATCCATACTTACAAGCAGGGCCAGTGGCTTACACCTACAATCCTAGCTATTCACGAGGCTGAGATCTGAGAATTGCAGTTCAAATCCAGCTCAGACAGTCCATGAGACTCTTTACCTCCAATTAACCACACACACAAAAAAAAGCCAGTAGTGGAACTGTGCCTCAAGTGGTAGAACACTGGCCTTAAGCAAAAAAGCATAGGGACAGGAGATGGGACAGAAGTCCTCTGAGAAAAGAACAGAACTGACTCAAGGACATATTTTAAAAAGACACATGAAATAGAAGATTAAAGTGTCTGACTAGAATAGAGTCAACATGTTGTTTCCTTCTCTTCAATATGTAGTTCATTATGATAAAATTGTTTTTCTAAGGTTTATAGATTCAATACTTCAAAATGTTTATCTAATCCATATTGTTTAATGAAGACCTTAAACAAACATTAAACTCATTCTAACAATTTTGAGTCCAGTATCTCGAGAAGGAAAATTAAGCATGATGCTTACCATTTAGCTTGGTGTAAATAATAACAAAACCCCTAAATAATATATTATATATAAACACAGTACCTCTTAAATTGTTAATTCAATATTTTTTGTGTGCCAGTACTGGGGCTTGAACTCAGGGCCTGTGTGCTGTCCCTGAGCTTTTTTGCTTAAGGCTGGTATTCTACCACTTGAGCTACACCTCCACTTTCAACTTTTTCCCTCAGAGTCTCAGGGACTTTTCTGACTTGAGGGATAGCTTTGATCCTCAGATCTCAGCCGATTACATGGCTAGGATTACAGGTGTGGGCCACCAGCACCTGGCTTTTTCAATCTTTTTCTTTTTCTTTCCCTCCTTCACCCTCTTCCTCTTTCTTTAGTCCGCTGTATCTATGCAGTGCTAGGACTGAGCCCTGGGCCTAATGCATGTTAGGGAAGTGATTGAACATTGAGCTGTACTCCCAGCCCAACAAAGATAAAAATTTAATTGCTGTAACTTCAGCACATAAACCTAACAGTTAACATACATTTAAGCACATATACTTCCACTCTTTTTCCCTAGATTTTTTTTTTTTTTTGGTCAGTTGTGGGGCTTGAACTCTGGGCCTGGGTGCTGTCCCTCAGCTCTTTAGCTCAAGGAGAGTGCGCTACCACTTGAGCCACAGCACCACTTCCAGTTTTCTGGTGGTTTATTGGAGATGAGTCTTATGGACTTTTCCTGCCCGGGCTGGCTTTGAACAGCAATCCTCAGATCTTAGCCTCCTGAGTAGCTAAGATTACAGGTGTGAGTCACTGGTGCCCGGCTTCCTCTAGATTTCTTAATAGGGATCACAGTGCATCTTGCAATTGCTCAGTCTCATCAATGAATCACTGGAACAGTTATCAAAACAAGACTACAGCAAATAAATATAAAGTTTCCATAGTTTTAAAGCATGTTTTCTGTATCTGATGGCAGAAGTTTGAACAGTGGAAGGACTACTGTTGGGTGTATCTTTTAGTAATCATTACATACGACAATAATCCTGTAGCTCTGCCAAATTCCCATCTGAGAAGCAGGTTCCATGTTTGGTAATTGCTTTTTGCACACAGACCATGACAATAGTTCTACCTAATTAACACAAATTTTAGAATAATATTTTATTGTGTAAATCAGTCTTGAAGTTACTAATGCTCCTCTTTCATAAAGTCTTGGACAATCACTCTTTTAATTAAGTCTTGGCACACTCCTAGAGGAAATGCTGGTCAAAGCCATTTGAAAACTTGTAAAGTTTCAATCAATTAATCTTCCAAATAACTGTACCCACTTATTTACCATCAAGGACATAATTTCATTATCTGTCAGTTTCATAAACAAGAGTGCCATGTCCACATACTCTTCATTACTTCAATTACTGAGGTTACATATTTTCTGTATTTGTACTGTTATTCACAGCCTTTCCTCTGTGTATGTGTGTACATTTGTATGCATACATATTTTTATTTTTTGGCAGCACTGAGGTTTGCTAGGTAGGTGCCCCATTATTTGAACCATTGCCCCAGATCTGTATGTTGTCGTTACTCTCCCAGTAGGTCTTGCTTTTGGCCCAGGTAGGCATGTTCCACTATACCCAGATTTTTATTGGTTGAGATGGGGGGCTCTCAAAGTTTTTGCCCAGGTTGGCCTTCAATGGCAATCCTGCTGAGTAGCTAGGATTATAGGCACAATTCACTGTGACTATTCCTATGAACTTTTTGTTGGTCATGGGGCTTGAACTCAGCTTGGGCTGGCTTTCAACCTCAATCCTCAAATCTCAAGATCGCAGCCTCCTGGGTAGTTAAGATTTTAAGCATGAGCCACTGGTACCTAACTAAATAACTCTTTAACATTTAGTGATTATGGAAAGACTCCTAGCTAAGAAAATTGAGAAATATGGAAAAAATAGAAACATTTTTTTAAAAGATCAATATAAGCTGGGGTTAAAGGACAGTGGAATCCCGCCCCCCCCAAAAAAAATCTTCAGTAACTCAATTACAAAGCCACAAAAAGTCCTTTAAAGTGGGGTGCCTGTGGCACACGTCTATAATCCTAGCTACTCTGGAAGCTGAGATCTGAGGATTGCAGTCCAAAGCCAACCCGGGCAAGAAAGTCTATGAGATTCCTATCTCCAATTAACCACCAGAAAACTGGAGGTGGCACTATGGCTCAAATGGTAGAGTGCTAGACAGTTCCCAGGCACAGAGTTCAAGCCCCATGACCAACCAAAAAAAAAAAAAAAAATGCAGCTAGGTGCCAGTGACTCACATTTGTAATCCTAGCTACTCAGGAGGCTGAGATCTGAAGATCATGCTTTCAAGCCAGCCCAGGTAGGAAAATCCATGAACTCTCATCTCTAATATACCACTCAGAAAAAGCCAGAAGTGGCACTATGGCTCACATGATAGAGCCCTAACCTTGAGTACAAAGAGACTCAAGGACATGCCCAGGCCCCTATAAAACTTGTAGGTGGGAATAGGAGAGAAAAACTGGGAGTGAGAGAAGGGGTGACATTAAACAAAAAGAAATGTACTTGTTACCTTATATAACACTTCTGTACATTGCCTTTACAATAATTTTTTAAAAATACAAGTGGGATTGTCCAAAAATGAAATGTACACATTACTTGACTTACAAATGGTAACCCCTCTGTAAACCAACTCTATAGCAATTAAAAAATAATTTTTTAAAAAGACATAAGCTAGGTGCCAGTGGCTCACAATTCTGTTTTGGCATGTTTACATCTCCTCTAAGCAACATACAAATACACCCTGAGAAAGGGAAGGTTGTGTTCCAGGTCAACCTGAGCAGAGAAGCCCATAAGATTCCTTCTTAATGAAGGAAGCTCAATGACCCAATGGCACACACCTGTCATGACATCAATAAATAATGGATGCCTAAATAGGTGGCCTGAGGCAAAGACATGTACAGGAAGCAAGACCTCATCTCACAAATAACTAGCAATGGCTGGGAAGGTGGCTCAGTGGCAGAATGCTTGCCTGGCATGCATGAGGTCCTGGGTTCGATTCCTCAGCACCACATAAGCAGAAAAAGCTGGAAATGGTGCTGTAGCTCAAGTGGTAGAGAGCTTGCCTTGAGCTGAAGAGCTGAGGAACAGTGCCCAGGCCCAGAGTTCAGGCCCCACGGCCGACAAAAAAAAACAAGGCAAAAAAACAGGGATAAAGGTATGACTCTGCAGTCTAGTGCCTGCCTAACAACTGCAAGGTTCAAGTTCAAAACTCTATATAGGAGCTCATATCTGAAATCCTAGCTACTCAGGAGGCTGAGATCTGAGGCAAGGCAGCAAAGTCTGTGACATTCGTAATGAGTTAACCACCAAAAAGCTGGAAATGGAGTTATAGCTCCACTAGGTAGCCACTTGCTAGCCTTGATCAAAAAAGTTTAGGGACAACATCTAGGCCCTGAGGTTAAACCTCAGGATACGGATATACACACACACACACACACACACACACACACACACACACACACACACACAACCACTTTATACTGAGCAGAAATATGTGAGGTTTTTATTTCCAAATAAGCACTAAAAATCTGGAAGTGAAGATGTGGCTCAAGTGGAAGAGTACCAGCCTTGAGTAAAAAAGCTAAAGGACAGCACCCAGACCCTGAGTTCAAACTCCAATACTGGAACAAAACAAAAACCTGACACTGCAAGAAAAAGGGCAGGGTGGGAAGAAGAAGAAGGAGAAGAGGAGAGGAGAGGGAGAGAGAAAAGGACAAAGGGAAGGAGCTGGTTGAGACACAATGCCAGTGTAGCCTGGTACACAGGCTTGCACCTGTTATCCTGAGTACTCAGGAGATGGAGATCAGAGAAAATGTCAGTTCAAGAACAAAAGTTAATGAAACCCTCATCTTGAATAACAAAAGCTGGATATGGTGGTGTTTGCCTGTCATCTCAGCTATACAGAAAAGGTAAATCAAACAATCATAGTGCAAACAGGCCCACACATAAACATGAGACCTTATTCAAGAGGCTGGGGCATAGTTCAAGTAGTAGAGTGCCTACCTAGCAAGGCCCTGTGTTCAAACCCCAGTACCAAATAAACACACACACACATACACACACAGATATGAACAGAAACATACAGATGTACAGAATCATTTGATACCTGTGGGTTACTCCCTCCATTCCAGGAATAACCTTTGGTGAGTTTTCCAACTCCATCATCCCAATCCCAGTCACTGTCATCATCATAGTAGTCCTCTTCTTCCTCCTTCTCATCTTCTATCTCACCTTCACCCTTCTCCATCACATGATTTTGGAGGTTTCCAAACAGACTGCCATCTTCCACTTTGATTGTCTTCAACTCAATGTTCTCACTAAAAAGTAACAATGTTTTGGCATGTTTACATATCCTTTAAGCAACACATAAACACACACAACACATGCAAGCAATACATAGAGAATACAAATACATGCACTTTTATTGCTAATTCTCCATGTCTTGTCTTCCTAAGAAAGAAGTACACAATCTGTTAAATCTGCTTCTGTCTTAAAAAAAAAGTCAGGACTTACATTATTTTTCTATTGAATGAACTGACTTTAATCAGTGTGACAGATATGACCTAGGAAACTCATTCATGAAGCTGCTAATTTATGAAGGGGAAAAAATTCCAACCAAATTCGGGAATAATTCTTTTTTTTTTTTTTGCCAGTCCTGGAGCTTGAACTCAGGGCCTGGGCACTGTCCTTGAGTTTCTTTTGCGCAAGACTAGCACTCTACCACCTGAGCCACGGCTCCACTTCCAGCTTTTTGTTTATATGGTACTGAGGAATTGTACCCAAGTGCTTCATGCATGCTAAGCAAGCACTCTACCACTAAGCCACATTCCCAGCCCTTGGGAATAATTCTAAAGCAATCTTATCTTGAACTCAATAATATCAAGATTACTATGACAGAAAGAATTTCAATCATTTATTTGTAAAGAAAAGAAATGATGAAAAGAGGTGAGACATTACAGAAGAGTGAAATAGGCTGAGAGGGAAGGGACTTTGAGAAGAGGCTCCCATAAAGGGCACACAGATAATGAGGTCTTTTAATGCCATGCAATAACTGAGACTTTGGATTAGTTTTTCAAGATGAGCCAGAAATCCAAATGTTTGTGTAAAATCTTCCACATGATTGGTGTATTCTTTTTCACATAACTGATGTATTTAATTTTATATAACAGTTCATATCTAACAAAACATGTCTACAAGCCAAATTTGATAAAGGAATTCCCTGTTTTGATCTGTCATACAGAGAATGAGAGCAGAAATCAAAATCCTTTTCCCTATGTTTCTTTCTTTTTTTTTTTTTTTTTGGGGGGGGGGGGGTCCAGTCGTGGGGCCTGAACTCTGGGCCTGGGCACTGTCCCTCAGCTCTTCAGCTCAAGGATAGCGCTCTACCACTTGAGCCACAGTGGCACTTCCGGCTTTTTTCTTTTTGCTTATGTGGTGCTGAGGAATCAAACCCAGGGCCTCAGACATGCAAGGCAAGCGCTCTACCACTGAGCCACCTTCCCAGCCCCCCTATGTTTCTTTTAAGTAGGAGTTATCCTCCACTGCTCTTTTCTCAGATCCCTACACCCATTCAATCTAACACCAAATCCTAACACTTCTACCTCCAACTCATCTCTATAACTCTAGCTTTTGTTGGCTGTTACTGAGATTTGAATTCAAGGTCTGGGCTTGCTTGCTCACAGCCAGGGAATCTACCATTTGAGACATGCCCCCAAGCCCTAATTTTTTTCTTACCATTTTACTTTATTCCACTCTTGCTACCGAAGATGACCTTCCATAAAGCAAATGACACAATTCCCTTGCTAAAATCCTCTTAACCCCTTAGCCTCACTTGTGGGTCTATACAGCATCTGTCCATCACTTTCTCTATCTCCACTGTACTGGCCTCTTGGTTTTCCTTTAACAGACAAGGAGGATCCTATCTCTATGTGTCTTCTATGCCCAACATACTGTTCCCCTCTGCTCCTGCTCATTTCTTGCCATTTAAATCTGGGCATTCACTAGTTCTGACCGTTACTAAGGATGTAAATCTACTTTAAGTACAACGATCTGTTTAAGTGTCTTCATGGTTGCCCTTCTTCCTAAACACAAGGTGAAGGTCCACGAGGCAGGGACTTAGTTTCTCTGGTTCAGCGCTACCTCCAGCTAAAAACAAAAACCTAACCGAGTGTTCCTACAACACTGATTGTAAACACCTGGGTTCCGCACGCCCATTAGCACTCTCTATTTCTTCTCACTCCAGCCCCTGGCAACTGTGAATCCTATTCTGGATGTTTTAAATCAAGTAGAATCATACCACAAAAACGACAAGATGAGAACCTCTGTTTCCCAGCTGCGATCTGCACGCCTGCCTCTCGGCTTCGCTGATCACCTGGGAGCCCGCACACTCCCCGACAAGTGACTTTCAAGAATCCTAAACTAGGGCGGCGGCGGCCAGGATGCAGACACGAAGACTCGACACCCTCAAAGCACAAACAAGGGTCAGCTTCCCAGAGCGGGAAAGGAGCGGGCAGAATGTGTTGGGGGCAGGGGGGAGGAGTGTCGGTGTGGTCCCCTAAGGCCTACCTGTCAGAGGACTCCGCGTCGTCGAACTGCCCGGGCACCACCTGGCTCATCAGCAGCCGCCGGTAGTCCATGGCCGAAGGCGCTTCTTGCACTGCTGCCGGAGGCCGGCCTCTGCCCTGGGACAGGAATGGCACTGAGACGGTGTTACCTACAGCGACGTGGGTAAGCCGCTCCGAGCCGGCCCCACGCTCACAGCGCGGTCCACGTGCGGAGAGACACCTGCACCGACAACTCGCGCCGCCTGCGCGCCCCGCGGACCGGAAGTTCCCAGCCGGAAGCAGCACCGGAAGTCCCGCTCGCGCCGTGCGGGCCGCCGAGAACTCGCTCCGGACGGCGTGCGAGAGGGACAGTCCTCATTCTCTGGCGGACGTTTTGGATGGTCCGCACAAGTGACGCGTGGGCCGCTCGTTTTGCGTGTCGTTTTTCGTCCCTTGCGCATGCTCGGCTTAGAGTTTCCTCCCACCCGAAGAACGCACCAGAATCCCCACAGGCTCTCCCGTGGGGGCTCGCACGCTCCTAACGTCATGCTTCCGGGAGCGTGATTGACGGGCCCCGCGATTGGCCGGCGCCCGGTGACGCCACAGAGAGAGGACGCGATCCTCAGATCCAACGGCGGGGTCGCCGAAGGCTGCGGGGGGAAGGGGGCGTCCTCCCTCCCGCCGCGTCTGTCCTCCCGCGCTGGAACTGAGAACTCCTTCGTTTGGGTCAAAGAAACTATCAATGGATCATGGAAGTGAGCACAGTTTTACATGTTAGCGAATTGGGTGCGTCGTTTTGACGGGAAGACGAGATAAGAGGTTTTCGAAAGTTAGAAGTTGGTGAGACTGCAATCTGTTAGGCACAAGATGGAAGGACACCTAGAAAGTTCCTAGGACGCCTCCTCACCCTTAAGATAGCGGCTTGAGAATAACAACAGGATAGGTATCCTAACACTGAATAAGTTGTTTTATTAGTGCCAGCCCTGGGGGCTCCTCCCTGAGCTTCCCCTCCCTTCTCCCCTCCCCCAAGGCATACTCTTTCCACTTTTTTTTTTTGCTTATGTGGTGCTGAGGAATCGAACCCAGGGCCTCATGCATGCAAGGCAAGCGCTCTACCACTGAGCCACCTTCCCAGCCCTACTCTTTCCATTTGAGCCACGTCTCCACTTCCAATTTCGGCTTTGGGGCAACGGGAGACTCTTATCTCTAATCATAGGGACTTCCCTGCCCGGAAAGCTTCAAATTGTGATCTCCTCACCTATATCTCCTGAGTAGCTAGGGTTATAGATGAGTACCACTGGCGCTCAGCTGAATAAGTATGTTAAGTCTGCTAAGAACTCAAATGGAAGGTGGAAGACTGGGGACATGGCATTAATCTTAAGGCCTTTGGTTCAGTACAGGAATTTTTAAACAGTGAAAGATGGAGAGAGAAAGGCTGAATTTAAAAAGTAATAATAGTGGGGCTGGGGAGGTGGCTCAGTGGTAGAGCGCTTACCTTGCATGCATGAGGCCCTGGGTTCGATTCCCCAGCACCACATAAGCAAAAAGAAAAAAGCGGGAAGTGGCGCTGTGGCTCAAGTGGTAGAGCGCTAGCCTTGAGCTAAAAGAGCTGAGGGACAGTGCCCAGGCCCAGAGTTCAGGCCCCACGACCGGACCCAAAAAAAAAAAAGTAATAATAGTGTGAGTTCTCAAGGCTTTATGCCTACCTACTCAGAAGGCTGAGAGCTTAGGATAATGGTTCAAAGGTAGTATTAGGCTGAAAAGTCTGTGAGACTCATATCAGGTTAACCAGCAAAAAGCTGGGAGCGGAGTTACAGTGTAAGTGGCAAAGTGCTAGTCTAGAACTTTTGAAAAAAGCCAAGGGAGAGTGTCCAGTACCGGCACCAAATAAATAAATAAGCAAATCAGTGCCAGAAGATGGATGAAAAAGTTGTAAAATTGTAATTGGGAATTGTGGATTTACAAATATAAACCAAGAAATTAAGCTTTTGCTGTTTTGCCTGTTTGTTGGTTTTTGCATTTGGAAAGCAAAGCAAGACTTTTCCAGATTCCCCAGTCACCACAACCCAGGGAACATTTGTTTGCATGACAGGGAAATAATGAGTATAAGGTTGGGCCTTTCACTATTGCTGCCTAACCTCTTTGACTTACTTTTTTATAATATACCAAGTAATAACACAGGCTGGGACAACTTAAAATTATCTTAATTAATCTTAATACAGAGGAGATTTCAAGGATTGGTATATGTTGTAAACATAACAAAGAATGCAGAACTTTTTAAATCAGTATTTACTGTGTAGACAACACTGACCTGTCTGCAGTAGGAAATATTGGGAAGCCTCTGTCAATCTCTCCCCACACTCTTTTTCCCTCCCTCTCTTTCTGGTACTGGGGCTTGGGGCTTGCCACCCAAGTACTATTATCACTTGTGCTACATCTCCAACCCTTTTACTTTAGTGATTATTTTTCAGATAAAGTTCTTGCTTTGAAATCTCAGCTACCTATGCCAACTGAGTAGCTGAGATTGTAGATGTGTTCCACCATGCTGAGCTTGTTAAAACAGAATCTCTGCTATTTGCCCATGCTCGCCTCAAACTGTGGTCTTCCTTATCTCCATGTCCCAGTTATCTGAGATTACCAGCATGCACTACCATCTTAAAACATCTTAAACTGCTCTTTTTATACAACATTTCTCTGATAGAAACACTGGGAGCACTGTGTGAAGATTCAAACATTAAATGAACAGATGCTGAATTGTTGGCTAGAGATTTAGAGACCATAGCAATAGGAAATTTATAATCAGTTGGATGAGGAGATAGGAAAGTTTTTACCAGGGCAAGATGGCTCAAATGATAGAGAACATTCTCTATGTGTAGGAAACAAGCCTGATTTGGTTAGAAGAGGAGAGGGGGTTGGCTTAGCAGCTAATGTACAGATAGGCACTAGAGTGGTACTGAGTGTTGAAGGATCCAATGAAGGATCCCACACATCCATCCCAGGGGACCATGCAGAGACAGGCAGGCACAGGAGAAAGATTATTATGAGGTTTATTAAAGGAACCATATTTCCCACAAGAGGGAGCACCTGGCCTCTGTTTCCATCCAGGTAGCAGGAGAGTTTGGGGGATAGGAAGTGAGGTAGTTCTGGTGGGTCTGGGCAGAGAGAGGGAGGGGCCAGCTGTATGGAGGGAACTCCAGGAATGGGAGGGGGCCCAGGTCTGGGTGGAGCTGAGGACCAAAGATGAGCATAATACTAACAAGTGTAACTGGACATCTACTGACAGATGAAAGTGGGCTCAGCAAAAGCAGCTTATCAGTTGTCCTCTTACATGGTTGTAATAGGAGATGAAGTGAAAGCATGGGTCATGGAGAGACATTTTTCGAAGGAAAAAGAGAAGGACAGGACTTAGTAACATGGCTGTAGATGATGAATTAGAGGGATACCCAAGATGCCTCTAAAATTTCAATCCCTTTCCATTGTATGGTAGCATTCAACTAAAATTCCAGTTCTTGGGAGGCTCAAATAGGGTTGTTAGCCCAGAAGCCTCCTCTTAACATGCTCTTTCCCTAGGCAACACTAGGCCCGTGTGGTAAAGGGAGCAAAAGCTTTGCCCCTACCCCCTTTCCCTGAGAGAGCACCCTGTTGGGATAGCTATGCCATATAAGGCAGTGAAATCCCCCAAATCCCGGAGATTATAAAGGTCATCTGAGACAATAGCTGTCATTTCTCACTTCCTCTCACCTGGCGAGATAGGGTCTTGCCATTACTGGCATTAAACCTTTCTGTATGGTTTTTCTGGCTAAGTCTAATTTACTCTAACAAGGATAATCATAAGATTGGGAGTTAGATGCCAACCTAGGCTACATAGCAACAACTTGTCTCAAAACTTGTCTCAAAGCAAGAGCAGAGCAGCTTCTCGAGAAGAGTCTGAAAGGGTAAGAGTCATGGTCAGTTGGTGAGGGAAGGGAAGGCTGTTCCTGGTGGAGGCCTGGTATGTACAACGTCCTCAAGCAGAGATATAGTCTGGTAAAACAGGGTGTGCAGGAGCTGTGGGTATGAACATTTGAATGTCCTCATTTAAAAAATAATTATTCTCATCTTGCTGGTTATTAGCTCTATTGTTTAACTTTTTGAGGCTATTATATATTGTAGAAATTAACTCCTGCCTTGGATGAATATATCACAGATTTGTCTCCACTGCCCCCATCCCATCCCCAGAAAAGTAAGGGGAGTAGCCAGGTGCCCATCGCTCACACTTGTAATCCTAGCCACTCAGGAGGCTGAAATCTGAGGATTGTGGTTCAACACCATCACAGGCAGACAAAAAAATCATAGAAATTATTTTTCTCCAAAGCCGGGTGCTGGTGGCTCATGCCTGTAATCCTAGCTACTCAGGAGGCTGAGAGCTGAGGATTGCAGTTCAAAGCCAGCCTGGACAGGAAAGTCTGTGAAACTCTTTATCTCCAATAAACCACCAGAAAAACAGAAGAGGTGCTGTAGCTCAAGTGGTAGAGCACTAGCCTGGAACTGAAGAGCTGAGGGACAGCGTTCAGGCCCAGAGTTCAAGCCCCATGACCGACAAAAACAAAAAACAAATTATTTTTCTCCAATTAACCAGGAAAAAGCCAGAACTAGAGTTATAGCTTAGGTAGCAGAGTGTCAGCTGTGAGTGGAAAAGCCAAGCGAGTGGGAGAGTGGGACACCCTGAGTTTAAGCCCCAGGACTTGTAAAAAAGAAAAAAAAAGTGGGAGGAATAGCTAAGAAAGGGTCATGGGGTAAATTTGACCAAAGTGCGTTATACACGTGCATGGTAATATCACAATGAAACACCTTTGTACAGTTAATTTATGCACATAGAAAATAAAAAGAAAACAATAGAGGGGCTGGGAAGGTGGCTCAGTGGTAGAGCGCTTGCCTTGCATGCCTGAGAGGCCCTGGGTTCAATTCCTCAGCACCACATAAGCAAAAAGAAAAAAGCCGGAAGTGGCGCTGTGGCTCAAGTGGTAGAGCGCTAGCCTTGAGCTGAAGAGCTAAGAGACAGTGCCCAGGCCCAGAGTTCAGGCCCCAAGACCAGAACCAAAAAAAAAGAGAGAAAACAATAGAGAAATTCAAGTCCAGTTGCTTGAGAGAATAGATGTGACAGGAAAATGAGGAAAGAAAATTGATTTACAGGCTTAGGCATAAAGTATTCAAATAAATAGAAGGTATTAGATAAATAGCAACAGTATTTTGTGCAGACTAATAGATTTGTAATGGTATTTGTAACTATTCTTTTTTTTTTTTTT